CACTTAATAACCAAACTTCTACAAATCAAATCCCTCCTACAAGTCAATCCTCAGTTAATCACACCTTCTCTTTTTCTCCATTCTCAGTCAGTGAGGTCAATAAACTGTTAAAAGATCTTGACTCTAAAAAATCTGCAGGTCCAGATGAACTTCCACCTTATTTCTTAAGGCTGGCTGCTCATATCATCACAGTCCCTGTGACCCACATCTTCAATCTCTCCATAAGACAAAACTCCATCCCAGACACTTGGAAAACAGCCTTTGTTCTTCCTTTGCTGAAGGGAGGTGACCCCACCTCACTGAACAACTATCGACCAATCTCTAAACTCTGCATTTTAGCCAAGGTTCTAGAAAAACTGATAAACTCTCAAATCAAAAATTACCTGGACTCATTTAACATCTTACCTCCACATCAATCTGGTTTCAGGAAACAACACAGCACAACCACTGCTTCACTGAAGGTTCTTAATGACATCGTTGAAGCACTGGATGCTAAGGATTATTGTGCTGCACTTTTCTTAGACCTGTCTAAAGATTCTGACACTGTGGATCAGAACATCTTGTGTCATAAACTCTCAGAAACTGGTTTCTCAGATCACACCATTGGTTGGTTCTCTAACTATCTTTCAGACCGGAGGCAATGTGTTCAACATAATGGTACTTCCTCCAGTTATTTAACAGTCAACAATGGTGTACCACAAGGCTCAGTCTTAGGACCCACCCTCTTTACAATCTACATACATAATGTAGGTAAAAACATCCCTAATGCATCCATACATTTCTATGCTGATGACACAGTTGTTTATTGTCGAGCTAAAACTGTTGCTAAGGCTTTCCAGCTTTTGAAATCTGCATTCATCATCATCCAGACTGATTTGTTCTGCCTCAAACTTGTCCTAAATGCCGACAAAACCAAAGGGATGCTTTTTTCAAATAGGAAGTTGGTCCCAGCAGTTGTCCTCCGATTTTATCCTCAAATGGTGTCCCCATTGAGTTTGTTGATTCCTATAAATATTTGGGTATCTTGGTCGACTCACATCTTTCTTTTAAGCTCCATGTGGAAAACTTGGTAAAGAAACTGAAAGTTAAACTGGGTTTCTTTTTCAGAAACAGATCCTGTCTAACCCTGAATGCTAGAAAACACCTTGTATCTGTGACTTTCCTTTCCTCCATTGATTATGGTGACATTATTTACAAGAACCCTACAAGAACCCTGCAGATGTTGGATGCTGCAGATGTTGGATGCTGTCTATCATGGTGCACTAAGATTCATAACTGGCTGTGATTATCGTACCCACCACTGCACCCAGTATTCACTGGTTAACTGGACATCATTAACTTCATGCAGACTCTCTCACTGGTACATTTTCATCTTTAAATCACTTCTTGGTCTGTTGCCTTCATACATCTCCTCCTACATGTCTCTGCGTGAGTGCAGCTACGGCGTGCGCTCTCAGGACATTATTACCTGCAGTGTTCCCTCAGTGAGGACTGAACTAGACAAAAGGACCTTCTCCTACTCCGCTCCTGTTTCCTGGAATATCTTGTAAAAACAATTGAAGCTCTCGACCTTTGACCTCTCTAAGTGTCTTTAAGAATCTGTTGGACTCCTGGCAGGGACCAATGCAGACATGTTCCTGTTTTTAGTTTTCTACAATCGCCTTAGAATCTAGCTGGGTTTTTTTTGTTACCTTTTTCTTTTAGCCATCCTATTTGTTTTAAAAAACAAAAACTGGAGTATGACTTTTTATAACTGTCTATTGCTGTCACTGTTGTCCATTGTTGTCATCATTCTTTGTTGAAATCAGGTCTCTCTTGTAAATGAGTCCTTGAGGCTCAGTGGGATTTACCTGAATAAATAAAGGTTGAATGAATATGTCTGTTACTGAATATACGTCACCAGCTCTTACAGCTGTTGCACAATTTTTGTAGCAAATAAGCCTAAATAAGAGGTCTATGTTCTGACAAAGAGAAGTATATAAAATATTGGTATTGGTTATCGGCCTATTAAGTTTTGACATATCGGCCAAAAATCCAATATCGTGCATCCCTACTTTTGAATATCCTTTTGCTACTTCTAAATTCCTTTTTCTGCTTTTAGCTTTCACCTCCTGTTTTGCTATGGAGGTAAAAGCTAACTTCTTTCTAGAGTTTTGCTTCTTTTAACTTTTAGCTGTTGTTGCTTCTTACACCTTTAAGCTAGTGTTCTGTTAGCTTTAGCCAGTTTAGCTGAGCTTCATGTTCTTTCAGCACTCATTCAGCTCTCACTGTGTTTCAGCAGAAAGCAGCTTCTTGACTTTTATTTCCTTTCTGTCGCTGCAGAACTGAAACGTTCTGGTTCATTTTTATTGTACCTAAAATGTTGGGAGAAGACAGGCTGAATAAACGCAGCAGAACTCCAACAGAACCTGTTTCATCCAGTGGGTTAGGACCGATCTGACCCGTCATTATCCCCCACTGCCCAAAAGGAGGGGAAGAAGGCCCATGGCTGTCTGTGTGTGTTTTTCTTTGTGTGTCTATTAGCAAAACACCCCTTCACCAACTGGACAGATTTTAATGAAACTTTTTGAAAATAATCAGTGGACGTGCATATATGAATGATTAAATACTAGAGTCAACCCCGTTTAAGATGGCTGCCACAGCTAAGCATCTTTATTAAACACAAACATGTCTAAAGGTGAGTCAGTTCCACAGATACTGAGCTAAAGTTTGCAGAGGAAGCAGCCGAGAGTCAAACGAAATCAAAGCACCAGCATATCACATAACATTAAACGCTTTATGTCTAATAACAATATTAATAATAACAACAATAATGGTAATAACAATAATACTAACAATAATATTAATAAAAACAACAACAATAATAATAATAATAATAAAAGGGCTGTCTCATGAGAATGCGGCGCAGGTTGAAAGTCAGACGTGACATTAGTGTTCACTGAGCTGGAAGTTGTTCTGAGATGAACTCTGGGTTCACTTCAGTTCAGTGATTTAAAGACAAACAGCTGAGAAAGTTCAATAAAATCTACACCAAGAGTCATTTTTTGTACAAGAAGGAGAAATGATACATTTCTGCTCCAAGTAATACAAAACTAGAGCAGTATGTAAAAAAATACAAACATATTGAAGTACAGATGCATGTAAATGTTATCAAACTATAGACACTGCTTGTGTGAAACTTTGGTTGCGGACAAGATTTACGCAGCAGCAGCAGCAGCAGCAGCAGCAGCAGCAGCAGCAGCAGCTTCCTCTAATTTAATTAAAGTACGAGTTCCAGAAACATGAAGGTTTACTGCAGAACCACGTTTGAGACGAATGTCTCAGCAACAACATGAGCAGCACACACACACACACACACACACACACACACACACACACACACACACACACACACACACACACACACACACACACACACACACACGCAC